AAAATAGGATTGTATAAAAAATGCAAAGGTAGAATTAAAAAACTTAAAAGTAAGAAAAAGTAGATGATATACACACAAAGTCTGACTGAAATGAAGAATATAACACACACATCCTCTCAACAGACGAACAAACACCTCACACACACACAAACAACGGTTAATTAGTTTGTTGTTACTAAAGAATGCTGTGATCAGTTAATTGAGATTTTAGGAAATTTCTCCATTAGGCCCCTCCCCTCCCTGAAAGCTACTACAAAATTATTTAATCACCCTCCCCCCCCATACATTACTTAAAATATTCTTAAATGTGTGGGGGGGGAGGAGGGGGGCGTCCCCATCTTTATCTTTAATATCTCCGATCTTTATCTTAAACCCCGTCTCCCATCTGTATATATCCATTTTCAGAGCATCATTCTTCAATCTTCAGGATATTTTCTTCAAAATTCGTTAAACAGTGTTTTTAAGTGATTCAGCGCTTTCTATACCCTCATGCTGAAAGGTTGAACAAGGCCTAAAAATGGATCAGTATTTTTGCTTCATCAACGCTGAATGTAAAGATTTCTAAAATCCGTTTGAACCCCCCCCCCCTCCCCACTTCTCCCCGTCCTGTGGAATTTTTGTGTCAAATTTATGAGAATAGTGTGAAAATTTGACACAGTGCATATTGAAAGAGGGGTGAATAGAGATACCGTCATGAACCCCACACGACTTATTCATAGCCCCACAACTTCGATCCGAGCCCCACAAGTAAGATTCTCCCATAGTATTTTTAAATCTTTTTAGAATTCATAAAAAAAAGTTTGTTACAAATACTAGCTATAGATCTTCAATTCCATTTTCACATTTCTTAAATTTTGCGTTTGAATTTTTTCTCCTTAATTTTTACGCAATAAAGAAGTCATCCTTGCTTTTTTTAGAATTAAAAACTGTTGACGGAAAAATTTTCTCTTAAAACTTTTGTAAATCATTAAAACTTTTTCCGTGTTGCTATTGGGACAAGGAATACTTTTTGTTAATTACCTATGCTTCACCACCATAAATTTCCGTAAATTGACATTATCATGGACTTAAGGAAACCTAAACCACCCCTAAAGCTTCTATCTGAAACCTGAACCCAACCTAAACTCTATTGTTAAACTCTATATTTGTCTAAACACAGTTTCGCTGTTTATAAAATGTCGAGACATAGTTTACCTTGTTTTGAAACTGGTGGAAATTATGGCGGGTAAATTCAGTTAGAGCGCAACCGCCACGTCCGTTCACGTCTATAATCCAACTTATACTGTCCTGAGTAACAGCTGATCCCCCCCCCTCCCCCTCTCCGTCCCAATCCCTCAACCCCACCCCTCTCTCCCTGCACCCCTAGCTCTATATTCCAACCCTCTTGGCTCTCTCTTCACTACCCTCTCTATCCCATTCCGAGATGGTCAAAGTAAACCTTTCCCTTACTCCAACCATAAAGAACCCTAATTGAAACTTCAAGGTTTAAAGACAAGAACTTGGAGTTTATTACCAGGTCTTGATCGACTTTCAATCTTTCAAATTCATTGAAAACCGACCAGTTTTAGGTCTAATGGTTTTTCTCCAGGATGAAGTTGATTATACGCCAAGAAGATTGAAATCTGAAATCAAATAAAAATTGATTCAGAATTTACAATGGTTTCTGATTTCTTTACGGTCCTGTCTATCAGACTGATTAAAGAAAACTTGGTCAGACATTTTTTATTTAATCTAGACTTGTTCACATTGGTTACATAGAAACCTCTCTGGCTCAAATTTTTAGATAAAACATAATTTCAACAATTAAAGGAAAAATTCTTTTACTCTTTTCAAGAAAATGATCATTTTAATTAAAAAATTACGTTTTAAATGTAAATTTGGGAACGCTCCCCTTTTTTCATCTGAGAGAAAAACATGGGTTTAGAAAATTTAGCCAAAGTTATTTCCTTTTCTGTGAAATCGAAAAAGATTCTAAAATAAATAGAAACAGGATAATTTTAAATAATTTCACATTTAAACACAACTTTTAAATTGTTTGTTTTTTTCAATTATGTTAAACTATAACATAGATTTATTTATGGGCTATAGCAAACTTAAGATTTGTAATCAAATATTCAAAACTATATAAATAGAAGAACCCATCATAATATGATGTTTTGATTACCTGAATTTATCTGGGTTAAAAACTCCCAAAGGAATCCATTAAATATGTTTTGTCTTCAGTCTAGCCTTAAAGGAATACGATTTATAGATATTCATTTGAATATTTTTTAACGCTTTTTATCTTGACGTTTCTGACAAATTTGTTCTAACTATACTAACTAACTAATTGGTCAATATGTTCTCACACGTTTTTGGTGTTTATATCAGAATATACTCTCTGTTCTATATGTTCTCTCATGATATCTGGTGTTTAATACCAGAATATGTTCTCTGTTCTATGTATTCTCTTATGATGTCAAGTGTTTAATACCAGAATAAGTTCTCTGTTCTATGTATTCTCTTATGATGTCTTGTGTTTAATACGTGAATAAGTTCTCTGTTCTGTGTATTCTCTTATGATGTCTGGTGTTTAATACCAGAATATATTCTCTGTTCTATGTATTCTCTTATGATGTCTGGTGTTTAATACCAGAATAAGTTCTCTGTTCTGTGTATTCTCTTATGATGTCTGGTGTTTAATACCAGAATATATTCTCTGTTCTGTGTATTCTCTTATGATGTCTGGTGTTTAATACCAGAATATATTCTCTGTTCTGTGTATTTTCTTATGATGTCTGGTGTTTAATACCAGAATATATTCTCTGTTCTATGTATTCTCTTATGATGTCTGGTGTTTAATACCAGAATATATTCTCTGTTCTATGTATTCTCTTATGATGTCTGGTGTTTAATACCAGAATATGAAGACAAGAAAAGAATGGTTTACAAGGAAAATATTTACTTTAATCCCCAGTCACTACTCTGGAATGTTCAGAGTATAGGGTATCCAGTATCTACAGTGTGTAACAGAAAAAATATTTAAAATTTTGTGTTCCTTCAGATTAAAAATGGCAACTTTTAGTTGTTAAGCCATTGATATTATTTTGTGCTCTTTGCCATGTTTTTAGGGACACTCTGTACTCTACTATATTCAACTTAAACGACTTAAACCAACCCTCCGCAACAGGTTCGAATTTAAACCATGGTTTGGTTTGGTTCCAAAAATTTGGCGGGAGATGCGATAAACGGCGCCAAACAGGGGCACTGAGAGCACTGAGAAACCCAGAAGCCGCATTCCATTCCCCAAGCTTGACCCCGTCATATAAGGCCTATAGAGAATGCAATTATGATTTGAAAAGGTCAAGAAAGGTTGAAATTGATGCATAGAACATCTAGATTTAGGAACACACGCCAATTTAATGCACAAGCCAAACCCAGTCTTTTTGCACCCCCCCCCCCCAGCTGATTACATTGTTATAACTGCATCATCCCTGATGGTTTCCTAGGCAAGATGTAATGTGGTAATTTGATGTTAAATGATGGAATACAGTAGATCAATCGATCTAGCTTCAGGCTGTAGGTATCTAGTAAATGTATAAATGCACACTGCACACTTGCACAGTGCACATTATACTAGACCTTAATCGGTTTATTAGCGGTATACTGTAATGCAACTATATACTGCAACTTGATGCAACTATATACTGCAACTTGATGCAACTATACTGCAACTATACTGCAACTTGATGCAACTATACTGCAACTATACTGCAACTATACTGCAAGCCATACCAAAACTGCATAGTAGTAGACCCACTAACAAAATCGCATTAATTTTAGTAGATTTATTTCACACCTATTTTAAATACAGTGGTAGACGTTTTTATTAATAAAATGAAGACGACTTTTCGATTTAAGTTTTAATTTCCAAAAAAGCTTTTGTCAAATTTCAAGCTTCCAAGTAAAATAAAAAAGTTGTTTCTATTTATATGTATCATGTTGTCTGAAAGCTTGATAAAATCAAAATTTATGTCAAAAGTCGTTTTTATTGTATTGATAAATGCGACAATGTAAAATAATTTTTTTTAGAGAACAAATGGCTAACAAAATTCGATCTTTTTCTTCAAGAATCGATATATGATGTCATTTTAGAATGTAATAATTTAATTGCATAAGCCGCTTGCATGATTAGTTTTGTTAAAGTTATCTATGTTTAATGATTTAAGATTAAAACTGAAATTATATTATTGTGTATGTCATAATAATATTAAAATCAAGTTAAAATTTTAATTTTTTTGCGATATCAAGTTCTGTTTTTAATTTGTCTAATCGCAAATGAAATCTATTTAATTGAAATTATAATTATCCAGAATAAAAGACAAGGCTATAGGTGATAATTCCATTTAATATTAATATTGTCTACAATATATATATATACTTTTTTATATACACACACAATAAACCAAATATCCATATTATAGAACTTTTGTTTTAATAAAAAAATTTTATTTTTAGCACAAAAATGGCCGAAGGAGGCTAAACTGACACTTATATCGCGGTAAAGGAGGACTACCATTACATGCGTAATGATCATGAACTATCTAATACCCCTGTCAAATTCTTTAAACAGTCCCTTCGTCTAAATATATCATTGCAGCGTGTATACTGTAGTGCAAATAGTACAATAGGTGGCAACATAGAAATAGACCAATTATACACGACGTCATGAAGTTTCAAATATAACAAGGAAAACTAAATTTTCTCATATTAGTTGACATGTTTTCCAAGATTAAATAAAAAGTGTTAAAACAGAAAATAAAGAACACATTAAATTGTACTTATTTTACTGTAAAATAAGCAATTTATTCTAAAATCATTATATTATAAATAATTTTGTCGGACACACAAACTGAGTTGACACTTGTGACGTAAGAATACAACTGTATAAATTCTACGTTGCCATCTATTGTACTAGAATCTATTTGCTGTAGTTATGCTATAAATCAGAAAGATAAAATACCAGTTATATTTCAAACTAAGGGTCAAATCCATTCACTTTTTAGCATCTGCAAAAACATGCAAAAAAAGCTTCAGGGCACTATTTATCTGTTCCAATGACCCCCGAGATTAGAACTTTTATGTGAAGATTGTTAATTTTGAACACTTGATCTCGATATCCAAAGTTTAAGGATCAATGCTATTGTTTAATCCCTACGTGGTATGATGATCACGGGATATCGAATAGGAATTAAATTTATCCATAGGATCGAGATCAGATGGAGATCAGATAGAGATCAGATTGAGATCAGATGGAGATCAGATGGAGATCAGATGGAGATCAGATGGAGATCAGATGGAGATCAGATTGAGATCAGATGGAGATCAGATGGAGATCAGATGGAGATCAGATGGAGATCAGATGGAGATCAGATGGAGATCAGATGGAGATCAATTCTTGACACCAAGACTCACAACTCAAAAGTTCTGATTTCAGGTAAGACGTATCAACAAATGTTTTGTTAATGTATTGTGAAAAGGGCAGGAACAGCGATGACATTTGTGAAATAAATGATTTTCTTGATTCTGGAAAAAAATTATTTATTGTTATGTCTGTGGAAAGACAGAGTTGGGGGATGTTGTGAAAAGTCAATGCAGGGGAAAATATAAAATCTGAAAGATTTAAATAAAATTTACAAATGTGACAAAATTATTATAAAAAATGGTGAAAAGTAAAATTGTTTAAGAAGTTTATCTAAAAATATATAACACTGTTTATATTAAACAATGTGTAGAAGACGAAGAATAGAAAAATGTAGAAATCAAGAAAACAAAATGGCGTACACGAGTAACCATGAGAATCAGTGGAATAGTTTTTGTCAGTTTCGTTTGATTATAAAATGTTGTAGATTTTGTAATTGTGAGACAAACTTCTTCTTAAAGTATCCAGAATATACCAGTTAGCAAAGCAAGTTTAAAAAAAAAGAAAAACGTAAACTATTACCATATATCATCCACAGTTTTTAGAATTTCATATACAAATTTATCCTTCAATTCATTTTTACGCTTTTTTATATATGTTATTGAATTGAATGTTTTAAACAAAATAAATGAGTTTTTTTAAAACAAAATAAATAAAAAAACATTTTTAGGAACTTTTAATCAGAAAAAACGAAAAAAACGTTTTAATAGATAGATTAACTCAATTTTGTATGAATTAAGTTATAAATTTGAGCATGGGAATATAGACAGATAGATAGATATTTCAGCTTTTTAGTTTTTATGATTTTCACATGTG